TTTTAATACACACATGACTTAATTATTGTATTTATGGTGATATCTGATAACAGTGGCAACACTGATCGATTTCTGCACATTCGGTGACGTTTTTCCCCTTGTTTTTTGCTTATTCCCATTGGCCATTTCCCATCCATATCCTTGGGCAATGAGCTTGCGCGGTCTCTGCCGGTAATATATAGTCCACAAGTATACAGTTATAAAATGAGTACATTTGGCCTAAAATGGTTTTGAAATGCAATTTAATAACGTAAATCTTAGTTTTATACCTTTTTGAAAAAACTTAATCAATAACAATTCTTATTGAATAAAAATAACGTTTAGTTTAGTACTTACCTTGCATGACTAGATGATACACGTAGCAGCTGTAGCCATGTCATGTCGATGTAATTCAGTCCGTTCCTTCGTCCGCTCATTGACGAATGACGACAAGTATGACAGTACGGAATGAGATGTTGAATGTGAAATTTTTCTTAATCAGCGTTTCTTACAGTTAAGGAGGATGAATCAGGGAATAAATACACACTTACTATAAACTTTATTACACAATAATCCATATAAGCTAATGTACTAGTCGGCGGAAAAATACCACCCTTGGAATCGAAGGAATCGGAATCGACTTGAGGCGATCGATTCCCGATTCCGATTCTAAGCCAAGAATCGGTGGAATCGAGAATCGAAAATGGAATCGACCCATCCCTAGTCGATTCAAACCTGCTATTAGGGTTTCGATCATGAGCTGCGAGAATGGACACTAAGTTCCGAGAAACGTCAGGAACATACCAGACATCGTTGAGTGTGAACGTTTTCAGTTTTCCATTTTCATAGTTTGCTACTTCAACGACTCCACTGCCAAGAGCTTTTATAACTTCCTTTCCCGCCGCCTTTACTGTTGTGTTCGAGTTTGAAGGGAAAGGTTTGTACTTCGTGAACCAACTCAGATTTGACGTAATGTGCCGCTTAGCGCCACTATCGATCCGCCACTGGTCGTTCGTGGTCACGATATTCATGTCACTGCTGACGGAAATCAGCGCACTTCGGTTGTCGGTCACGTTAACTTGCGAGCCCTTCGTTCTCTTCTTATCAGTGTCACTCGTTTTTAAGCTAGTGCTAATGCCGTTAGCTCGAGCTGGATACGCAGGCTTGCTGTCAGCTTTCCATTTAGAACACTGGCGAATCCAATGACCTTACCCCAAACAGTATTTGCAGGAAGTGTCACCTTTTGGTTTCCTATTCTTCTGACCACCGCTGTTTGTGGCACTAAGAATGTCACCAGCTTTTGACGTAGGAGCAACATTACGCTTATGAAGGATTAATGCAGATGAAACATCTTCAAGTTTCTTGCTCTCGTTTGCCTTCATAAGTAGGTAGCTAGACTTGAACGATTCAAAACGCTTCGGCAAAATGTGTAACACTTTTGACACAAACAGGAGCTCAAGAAAATCTTTGACTGTTTGGATGTTACGTGTTTTTAGGCCAGCTGCAAATTCGCGGTTTTGATTCTTCAATCTTGAAAGCACGGTCGGGGCATCCTCGGTATCATCCCATTCCATACTGAAGAAATCCAAACACCGACGAAACAACTGATCTTCTGCCTTGTTATCGAACTGCTCGATCAAAATGTCCCACGCATCCTTAGCTGATAATCTTCCGGAAATACGTTGATGTAGATCATCACTAACGCACTGAGAAATGACTATTTTTGCCTGAGTCATGGATTTGTTGAATTTCTGAAGTTCTTCCTTTTCGGCTTTAGTCGGAGGCTCAGAGAGGGTAGGCTTTTCTCTCTTTCCCTCGACGATATCAACCGCGTCGAACAACTCTAGAACATCCAACACTCGATCTTTCCACGTCGGCCAATCTTCTGCTCCTTTCAATGGTTTTATACCTTTCACGTATTCCATTTGTAGAGCTGGACGAACTCGATCGAAAGATATACCAAAGAAATAATACTCTTGAGACAGAAAATTACGTCAGAATAAATTGTTCTTACCGTGTACGTAGTAGACTAGATTTCCTAACACTGTTATGTACATAAAACGATGCTGGCGACCATAACCTCTTGAATTATTCTCCCAAGTGGAGGTGTTTAGGGATAATCTAAGTAAAACTACGACAAAAACTAATTTAAACTCTAAAATAATCAAATGTATTTCTCATTAATGTTTTCATGACAAGGAGCAATATTGGACAACAAAACAGACAGCTGATAGTAAAAACAACATTCATATCATCTGTATGACTATTACAAATAAATAGAAAAGGCAGGCATTTTCAACATGATTAAATCAGAAAATCTGAAAATTAAAAACTAATCCTTAAACCGGCAATTTATCAATAATTTCTAAAAAATAGTGATATGTCGATACAAAAATTTACCGAATCTCCGTACAGTCACCTGAAAAATAGATTCTTAATACAGTACTGATAATTTCAATTTTACCAAATTTTATGTAAGGATTACTTCACCAACCCCTGTCTTTATGCACTTTCATATAGTATGTAATTTTGGAGTTATGGGTTGTTTTTCAAGTGGCCTACAGAAATAATTGATGCAGAAATTACAAAAATTTCACGTAGCCAATTTAAGTTTTAAACCCTTCTAAATACATTAAATAAATACCACCTCCAAGGTAAATAAAGATATTTAAAAAAATATAAAAATAAAACTTTTTAGAAGTGTGTCATTTTGAAATTTTTGAACAAGCCAAACTCGAGGTTATATCGTGATCATCTAACACTGTAGTAGAGACGCCATCATCGTTTTCTGCGGCAAGTGAAAAATCCTGAATATCTCACTTAGTAACAGAAACATCACCACTGTCTTACGTGGTCGTGACAAAATCCTGATATTGTTCAGCGGTAACGGAAAAATTATAATCGTCTCCCGCGATCATAGTAAAGTTATCACCATCTTCCTCGATCTTAGCTTAATTCAAATAATTTACCGTGGTCATCATCGTCAAGCAATATTGTTTGGACATCATCACCATTTCCCGCGGTCACGGTAACATTATCGTCCGCATGTGCGATTGCGGCAAAATCACTAACATATCCCGCGGCCGTTTGGACATCATCATCGTCTCACGAGGTCCCGGAAACGTCATCGTTGTCTCCTGCGGTCACGGATACGTCATTGTCAAAATCACTAACAAATCCCACGGCCGTTTGGACTTCATCATCGTCTCCCGCGGTCACGCAACCTTCATCTTCATGCGCGATCGCGGCAAATTGAAAATTCCAGGTAAAATATGAATTTCCCGGTTTTCCAGGTCGGTGGACACACTCATTGTGCTGTGGCAGAATTGTGTTTAGTGCCAGGTAATTAGCTACACATAGTATTCAAATGGTAGGTTTATTATTCAAGATCGCTCAACAAGCAAAGTTGCACACAAGCGTTAGTACCCTGTAACCTACAAAACCTATTACTGAGTTTGGTAGGCTTTTTTATTTATTTATTTATTTATTTATTCACTACATGTCATTACATCATTTGACAGGACATAAAGTCATATACAGGATAATACTAAAACTAAGAAATAACAAAAATGTCTTACTAAATTATTAATCTAACTTAACGTCCCTATTTAAATAACATTCGATAGAAAAATTTTTTTTTGTTTTTAACCAGGTCTTCAGGGTGGATCTGAACTGTGTTTTACTATCAATATTTTTTATGCGGAGTGGTAACTTATTGTAAACTTGTGGGCCTATATATTGGGGAGATAAATGAAATTTCTCTAAATCTATGGGTTTCAGGCTTAATATAAATCTTAAATCTAGTGTGGTGGGAATGAATGGGTTGGTTCATGAATGAGGAGAGATTGTCTTTAGCCCAATTTGAAATTTCTAAAATATAGTGATCATAAAATGTTAAAACTGAAAATGTTTGAAAAAGACTTTTAGAAGGAGTTCTACGAGGAACTCGCCCAATAATTCTAATTGCTTTTTGTTGAAGTTTGAATATTTTGTTGAAGTGGTATGAGTTTCCCAAACCAGAATACCATATGTCATTATTGAAGAAAAATAAGCATGATAAACTATAAGCTGAGTCTTCAAGTCAACAGCTTGTCTGATTGCACAAAGAGAGAAAATACAGCGGTTTAATCGTGTGATCAAATTAACAACTTGTGATTTCCAGTTAAGATTTTCATTTGACAGTTATACCTAAAAAATTCTTATTTTGCTGCAGTGGCATTTTAGATTTTGATGTTACAATTTTACCTGTTTTATATTGATTATTATTAGAACTAAACTCTATAAGCTGAGTTTTATCATCATTCATAACCAACCCATTCACCTGGATCCAGTCTCTAAGTGCTTGCACCTCCCTGTCGAGTGTGTGTCGCAGGGAGTCGATACTGGGTGCCGTACATAGCACCATTGTATCGTCTGCATACTGAAAGAGTTCCATATTGGAGACTTGAGGTAGGTCATTAACATAGATTATGAACATACTAGGGCCCAGTATCGACCCCTGAGGCACACCACATGGTACTTTCCCCCAAGTTGAACAAACAGTTTCATTATTTTTTGTTAATTTAGTTCTCTGAAACCGATTGGAAAGATAAGAAGAAAATAAATTAATTTCTTTGCCTTTAATACCAATTTTTTTAAAATTTACCAATGAGGATGTCATGATCAACGCAATCAAACGCCCGGGACAGGTCACAGAGAACACCAGCTGCTCTCTGAGATCCATCCAGAGTCCGTGTGATGCAGTTAACCATTCTTGCCATTGATGTTTGACAACTGTGCCCTTTTCGGAAACCAAATTGAGTATTGTTTAAGATGTTGTTACTTTCTAAAAAAGATCTTAATTGAATATCAATAGCTTTTTCAAATATTTTGGAAAAACATGGAAGTAATACGACGAGTTAATGACATATTTAAAAATTGAGCAATATTGGAAAATAACATCAGTTTATTTTTGGCTCATTTGTATGTAATTTTAATTTTGAAACCAAATTAATGGACAGTAAAGATGGAATAATGCTTACTTGAAACTAAGACTGGATTCCACGGAATTTGAGGGTATCTACGTTCGTCGGTGAGAAAATGTTGACGAAATCCATCAGCAAGTTCGTGTACTTTCTGCTGCATACTTACACTTTCTTGGATGTATAACTGAAAAAGCCAAGAGTCTAGTTAAAAGTATATAAGAGAGATTGGCTGTGATTTTACTGGACAAAAAATTTGGTAACTAATTTTCATGTTTCAACTAACAATATTGAAAATATTTCTGGATAGGCTTTCACGATCTCCGATTGTGGTTTTGTTGTCTTAGGACCGTGTCAAAAACAACAAAATAATTCCATTCATGGCCGATGCAGATGTTTCAGCCTCGATGCAGAGTGTCATCTTCAGGGCAACTGGACTTCTGTACAGTTGACATTTAAACTTGCTACGACAACTGTGCAGAAGTCAAGTCACCATGAAAATGTTACTCTGCATCGAAGACAAAAAAGTCTGTAAATTGAACTGTCTGTAACATGGTCGACCTCTGAAGATCACGAATCTACAATATTGTAAATACTGAAACTTTAACTCAGTCAATTCAATACTGTATAGCATATTGAATAACATTGTTGTACAACTACATTTATTTGACTAGAAGGCCTACCTGTTTCTCATGCATGCCGACGTACAGAGCTGGGGAGGAGGGGACGTCTGGACCAGAGGGTGGGTGTGTTCCTCCAAACAGATCTACCTCCTCCAACTGTCCCTTGCTGACCTTCCACGCACTCACCACTGGAGAGTCAAACTGCCACACAATCAGATTAGGTTACAGCATATACATTTATATTTTGTATGGATAGCTGGAAACGATTTAATGTTAGTTGCAAACAATTTATATAGTTTAAGTTCAATAATTCTTTCTTATTATTTAACTCATTTTAAAACGAATTAACCAAATACAACAACATAGTCGTACACAATGGATTGTTCTATGGTAGGCTATTATAACTAAGGGGCTGCGGTACAGAAAATTTAAGGTCGGTACGGTTCGGTACAGTACAATATTTCTGTTACAGGAGTATGCCGTTGGGTGTGGGTGTTTGTGTGTGTGTGTGTTTGTATTCACCGAATAGTGGCATCCTTCACAGGCACACGGCCGTACTGTGGCACCTTCAAAAATTGTGGCACCTTTTTCAGGGTGCCACAGCTAATTCGATCATTTTTTAGGTTTTCCAGCATTATTACGTCGTTTAAACATCACATGCCACAATTGAGTATTTTTGAACTCGTTGATGTGAGTTTAAGTAGCTCAGGTACACGCCGAATTGTGGAACACGAAACCATACAGGTAGCTAGCGCGCCTCGCGCCGTCCGCCGGAACTATAACTTTCCTAATGCTACGTTGCCAATTCTCGAGCCAGCCTACACTCTAAATAGTGGCACCATGCCACAATTCAGTATATATCAACAGTGTGTGGACAGGATACCACTTAATGAGTTGTAGCGCTTGAGCAGTGTGTAGAACAGTGCAACAAGTAACTAATAAACTAATAATACTGTACTGCCAAGTACTATAAAACAATTTAAGTACCATAAATAATATACTTTTGCTCCGAGTGGTGTACAATGTTTTACATTACAAATAATTTGTGTAGTAAATAATAATTTAAATTGATTTTACCTAACCCGCCATGTTAAACTTCCCTATCCCAAGCGTGATGTATACAACTTCCTTACTTCTCGAGTGATGTAAAGTATCAAAAACTCACTCGGTGATGTAAAGAAACCCATTTAAATAACATTGAGTGCTTAACTTTAAAAAATATAACTCTGTGGAGCTAACGACGTTCAACGCTAGAAATCAGCGCTTGAATGTTATTGTTATGCTTTAAAGTATTTTCCTACCTAACCTAGCTTTTGTTAGTAAAAGAACGTTACTGATAGAAGATGAGTGAAATGGATAATGAAAAATATTGTACGTAAACCCATGTTTATTGTCGGGTCAGGTAAAATCTTGTATGTTACACGTTACGCAAGAGCGTGTTTACATCACTTAGGTGAATTATGCAACTCGCTTCCGCTCGTTGCACGACATTCACCTGCGTGAAGTAAAAACGCTCTTACTACACTTGTAATGTAAATAGCTATTACGCAACCATTAAAAAATTGATTTTTGTTTACAAACATAAATTGGTAACGTAGTTATTTTGTTTCAATTGAATTTGTACACTGGAACAATAACAATGTTTGAGGTTAGAACGCTATATAAGTTGTCCTAGACTGTTTTTTTTATCTTACAAACTATTTCGTGCTGATACATCTATTTTTTTAACATTTTAGTCATGTTGACAAAATATTTTGCAATTAGGTACATTTCTGAATCAGTCAGTAAAGGTAGATTTACATGCATCATTGCTGAAAGTTATGTTTTGCTTCTCACTCTCAGAGTATTCCAAAGACATCTAATGTTTCAATCCATGTTCAAATGTTATATGAGGTAAACAACCGAATCAATTAAAGTACTTAAATTAAAATACATATTATTATCAACACGCATAATCTAGTTCAGATTATAATATCATCTCACAATCATATTTGTAAAACCTACTGTGGTGTTTTAAGCAGTCCCCACTGACAAAAGCATAAAATGAAAGGTCCTAAAGAGGTTAACAAAAACAAAGTCATAACTCATTCATAACATTGAGTCATTGAGTCATAACAAAAGTAGTTTAAAAGTTGTAACCGTGATACTGTAAATAATTTGATATTGTTAGATATTATACGATACGATCGTTTTACAATTTTGTCAATCTATCTGTTACTTTCATACAAATGTATTTTTATTATTCAATGTTTTGTTTTGTAGAACCTTTAGTATTCTCAACTTTATTAATAACTAGTAGAATACCCGTCCTTCGTACGGGGTTGGCATATAAGTAGAACATGATCATTGCAGTGATGGGAGAGGAAACTGTTTAAGAAAATATGGTCTTTTAATTTATACGGTATCCTATAGTGTAGCACACATATACCTATAATAAAAGAATGTGTTTAATGGTTTGCACTGTAAACGAAAACCTATCACAATATTTCCAAACATGTTAATAGGGCAGTTTTCTAACATATTTTAGTGAAATTATAATCAGGCAAACGGGAATTCGCTCAGTCTATAGGTTTGCTGGGGCAGGGGGATTATATTACTGTTTACAAACAAATAAATCAAAAGAATATACCTCATAACTCAGGATAAGGGCCTAGGTTGATAAGGCAATATAGAATGTTGATTATTTCCTATATCCATCGAATGATTTCTTTTATAATGAATTATTATAAAAATAAATAAATATTATTACAACCTTTCACAAAATTAAGTATATTTAAGTATAATTAACAAACAGACTTAGTATAGTTAGATCATAAACAAGTGAAGTACTGTTACCGAAACAATCCTATAATAATGAAATTACATTTACATATGATTTGGCAGCTCCTTTAGGTAATGTTAAATAATGTTTACATTCAGGCTAGTGACATCATTATTTTAAATTTATAATCCTTACCCTCTCTGTTCTAATATTCGTGCAGTATTTAATAAGGTTTGAACCAGCTGTGTTGAATTGTGAAATCAAAATCAATTTGACAGTTAGTTAGTTCTGCTTGTTTACATTTTTAAACTTACTAGGTTTGTTCTTTGTTACCATGGATACCATCAATCAATATTTACTTTTAAATCTCTCATCTCAGATTTTTGAAAGCCCACGGGGCAAAGCCCTAGGTGAATATCGAAGCGGCAATAGTTCTATATGTATCCTCGGAGCTGTAGCTTCATTTGTGTGCAATTTGAGCATAGTCGGATCAGTAGTTTTTGGGATTAGCTCATACAAACACACTAGTACACAATAACACACAAATAGTATAGAATATAGAATAGAATATAGAATAGAATATAGAATAGAATATAGAATAGAATATAGAATAGAATATAGAATAGAATAGATAGATAGATAGATAAACCTATTTCAACATACAATATCAATTTTAGGAAATTCCTAGTATGGTTAGAAGTTGGCATCCGTGAAGTTTGTGTAATGTTTTTTAAAAAACATTATGGGATATATTTAACTTCACTTATTATTTATTTAATATGTTTCTACTTCTTGAAATTCTCAGTTAACTGGGAGGCGGAGCAAACAGTTTGTTCTAAAATGAACTTGAAAATTGTAAACAATCTTTTTTCTGTTGGTTTACTTAAAGTCTATAATCTATATAAATAAAATTAGAGTTTTGTCTGTACATTGCTCAGAATTATATACTTTTAGGTTATTTTTACGTTTTATACATTAAAGAAGCAGAAACGAGTCTTATCTCAATTTCTGTCTGTCTGTCTGTCCCTTTGTCTGTAACACTCAAGATGGCATTTTACGCAATCTTCTCCGTGAAAACCAGAGTACATATCAAGATCCAAGTCATTTTAATGTATTCACTGGATTGGCGAGAGTGTCTTTAGTGATTTAAATATAGCCTCACTACTTTGTAAATAAAATTACGGACGTTCAAAAATGCAGTTTTGTGCGATTTTTGTCAAATTTTCGTTCAATTTTTATCACATAATCGTCTATGAAATAACGAACAGCTGTTCGGATCAAGATTATTTTTTCTAGCTGTCAATGACATGTTTACAAATGTTGTTTACAAATAACCTCAACTATTTCGAATCACGTTTTGAAAGCAAATCCCAACCAAGTGAGATTAAAAACGTTTTTCTTACATAACGGATTTAATATAGTCTAATAGTGTAACCGTAAATGAAATTAAATAACTAGACATCGTCCAAATCGGAACCAGAAATTCTTTGAGTATAAAATGTTTCTTGAGTTTTTACAACCAGAAAGAAGAAGACCTTGAATCAGTGTTGTATAGGGCTGGACACTGAAATGATCGTCGCCAATAGCTTACAAAAAAGGTTTCCACTCATTGACGGCGCTTCAATGGCGGTTGTGTAAAGTGTAAAGTAAAAAATCACAACTGCAGTGGGTGATTGTAACAGAGGTTTAAGAGAGGAAGTGCTAAACTCGCTTTTTCAATGTGCCACTTTCTGTTTCTACTCACCGTGTGATGCAATCGCTGGACCATACAGCCAATAGGCCCATAGCTCATATCTTGGATACGTAAGCCTACATATTTATTCATAACAACCTTTTTGACGACGATCCTTGATACCGGTACTTTTCCATAGAATACATGGCCTACCTACTTAAAAAATAAAATTACAAATGACCAAAACCCCAACATTGTGTGATTTTCGTCACATTTCCTTCTAATGTTAATAGATATACTAATCATTGTTTAGAGAATGCATAATCTATTAAATAACAAAAAGTTGTTTGGGTAAGGTTGCTTTTTTTCAAACTGACACCGATAAGTTTACGCTATAACTTTTTACGAGAAAATCCAAAAGCAAGAGATCAATAACCTCGGGATTAGATATTAATGTATTTAATTGGTCCGATTTACTATAGTTCTTAGGTATGTTCTTACGTAGGTACTGGTTCTTTTCCTTAGAACCGGTAGTTTACAAATTTGATATCGTTGGTGTTGCACCTTATTTATTAGAGCCGTCCGTATTCAATTTAAGTGATGTCTTAACTCTGTATAAGTTTTGCTTTTTCTATCTGGATTCCAAATCTTAGCTTACCCGGTATGCTAAGAAAATGATAACCTATTTGAGTAAAACATTTATTGGGCAAACCATCATGAATTGTTTACGCCTTTATATTGTTTATGTATCAATAGTTCGTGGCCTTT